GCCCGCGCTGCTGGGCTCGGTGGCCGGCCGCCTCTCCTCCGCGCCCCTGGCCGTGGCCGGCTCGCTGGCGGGCAACTTGCAGGAACTGTCGGCCCGCTACCTGAGTTCGTCCGCCTTCGAGCCCTACTCCCGGACCAACAATAAAGAGAGCGCTGAGAAAAAAGCACTGGACTGACTCTAAGTACCTTCTCCCCCCCCCTATTTATATTTATAGTCTCTATTTGTGGCGGTATTTATGGGACGGGCGGCCGGCAGCCGCCCCCCCGCGCTCCCCGCCGCCCCCGAGCCCCGCGGCGCGATCCTGCGCGGGCCGGGGCGGAGCGGGGCCCGGAGCCCGCGGGCCGGGAACGGGAACGGGGCGAGAGGCTTTGGGAGCCTCCCCGGGGCCCGGCGGGAGCGGGGCGGCCCCCGCGCCCCCCCTGCCCCGGAGCCCATCTGTCCGTCTGTCCGTACGGGAGAGGGCTGTCGGCCCGCTCGTTCGTCTGGGGAAGGGCCGCAGAGGGAGAGCGGCCGCGCTCCCTTCGGTCGCTTTAGCGAGGGAGCAGGATTTCGGAGAGAGGAGGATGGAGCTGCCAGGTGATGCCCGTTTTCGGTTTTTTGCTTTTGGGTTTTTTTGAGGGGGGGGTTGTTGGGGTTTTTCTGTTCGGTTTTGGGTTTGGGGTTTTTTTAATTGTTGTTGTGTCTCCCAGACTCGGTGATTTCTAAGCACAAAGGTTTTGGGGCCCCACCTGCGGCCCTCGTTTACCCCCACGCTCGCTGCACTACAGTCCCCGGCTGCCGACCGAGCCCTTAACACCAGTCAGGAAAACCTCCAGCAATTTTTGTTTTTCACGGTAAATCTTGAACGTGGGAAGGGCCGGAACGGACTGAAAAATACAGTCACGAAGCGGGGAGACAGAAACCAGTGGCTGCAGAAATTTTGAATAAAGTTGTCTCTTCCTTCGAGATAACACAACTGCCCCTTCTCCTCCCCTTTTTTTTCCTTTTTTTTCCCCTTTGAATTCCCACGGGCCAGTCCCGCGGACCTTATCTGCAAAAACAAGTCTGCAGATAAATCATGGAACTCGCAACTCTATTTGTATCTAGATCTGTTGCGATGGTAATTCTCATTTTTATTGCTCTATTTGATTTTTCCGAATAATTTCAATGTGCATCTAAGCACAAAAAACCCTGTAGCCTTCCTTGCTCCTAAAATAACCCTCTCGTATATTGCTCACACTTCATTTGAAACGAACATAAAATATAAAAAACGTAACTTTTATTGTTATTTTTGTACTTTAAAACACATCTATGTAACAACCTTTTTTTTTTCCTTCATAATTCCTATTGCTATTTTCTCCACGAACATATGTATTTCACCTTCTAGCATTCCGGATCGAATATTTCCTGTTCAATTTTGGTACTTGAATTTGCCAGAAAAGGGATACTGTACTTAGCTAGTTCTTTGGGGAAAAGATTATTTACTTCAGTTTTAAGTTTCTTTTCTTTCTTTGAACTTTAACCCATGGCGTTTACAAACTGTATAAGTACGTGCCACTGAACTGTAACCAAAAAAAGAAAAAAAAATATGAAAAGTGGAATGGTTGCTGTAGAATATAGAATTAACTATAGACCAGAACTGGACAGAAGGAGCTGGATGGAAAGAAAATAGTAATTTTATTGTAAATTATTTACGTCTGAAGTTTCTAGGCAACTAGTCGAAAAAATAATGAATGAATCGAGCGCTGAGCCCTTGCTACTAACTTTTGTTCTGAATGTTTTGGATATTTGGATGTTTTGTATTTATGTGGTGAGAGTGAAATATATTATATCTATATGATGACAGAATTAGGTGTATTTTCGTCTTATATTCATGGCACCCAAATTGCCTTCATTTAATATGTGTACTGCAAAAAAAAAAAAACAACAAACCAACAAAAAACCCACAAAAAAACCCAAACAAACAAACAAACAAACAAAAAACCAACAAAAAACCCCCCTGTCCCTACATAACCCTCTCGATTTTTTCTTTTTTTTTTTTTTTTAATTTTATTTTTTCATTTTGAGCGGAGATCTGTGAGGTCCACTTGGTAGAGGGTGATCTCTTCCTCCTGGGGCATTCCCACTCCCCTCCCCGGTTCCATCCCAGCCCTCTCAGCACTCCCCGGTCCCGCGGACCCGATCCCACGCCCGTGGCCGTGTCTGTGTCCGTGTTGGAGCGGCGCCGTTCCCCTGCAGGGAGGCGATCCTGGTGCCCAGTGTGCCAGGTGCCACCACCGGCTCTGCCACCCCGCGCAGGGACCCGCTCACCTCCACATCTCTTCTGCCTGTGGCGGCTGCCGGGCCTGGCAGGCACTTAGGGGTGCACATACGTGTGTCCACATATATCCCTACAAGCACATATAAATACACGTACACGGAGGTATGGAAAAAATACATATGGTTGTGTGCATAAATATAGATATTTGTAAGTGTTTGCTAAACAGCTCTTGTTTCCATCCTGTTTGGCAGCCCAGCCCTGAGCACCTTTTGCTGGGCAGCCAGTGCAGGGCAGACCCCACGGTTCCCAGGAGCTCCCTCAGTGCCCCGGCTCCCCAAGGCCAAGCCACCTCCAGCACCATGGCACCTGCTCTTCCCACAGCTTCACCCCTCTAGTGGGCTTTGCCATGAGCCCATCCCAGCCAGCGCAGATGCACTGCTCCAGATAAGAGGGAAGGATGTGGTGGTGGCGCTGGTTTGCTTGTTGCTTTTTTTTATAAAGTGTGTAAAAATTATCTGATGAAGGGCAACCTGAGTGAAGGACAGGATCGCAGGTGACATTTGAAGAAGTGACATCGAAAATGCTGGTCAAGTTGGGAAAACTTCAAGGGGAGTGGAGGGAAAAGTGTTGTTAAAAGCAAAAGAGCTGAATGTGACAAAACAGATCTGCCAGGGAGACCCTGAGGGACAGGGGAGTTCTCAGTTTCTGCCTTGCCTGCATGGACTGCACAGCATCATCCACAGCCCTGGACAGAGACAGCAGCCCTGGCCTGGGCTGCCTTTACCAAGGAGGCAATTGCCACCACTCAAACTTTCCCTGGTCTCCCCTGCCCAGTGTGGGGCTGATCTGTGTGGGGAATTTGCCCTGTCCTGCAGGGACCTCCCTGCTGTCGAGATGTGGCCATTTCAGTGTCCAAATCTGCTGCTACACTGCGAGCATGGGAACACCAGCACAAATATATCCTGCTGGAGCTGTCTCAGGTGCCCTCTGTTAAAAGAGATTTCCCTGCTACTCTATTATTTTAACCAGAAATGGCAGGGGCTTTCCTATCCCCTCACACAGGTGCTCTGAGACCCTTTTTCTCTGGTCTCTGGCCCGACCTGCAGTCTCAGGGTTGGAGCTGTGGTCAGTGTAAGCTCTTTGCTCCTCATCTAAGGCAATTTAAACCAGCATCAGGCTAAATTGCTGACGCTGTAGCAGGAGTCCTTGTTTTACAGCTTTGCAGCCTTCAGTATGCATGCAAAGAACTAGACATTTTTATTTGTATTACTATTATTATTAATAGTTTCTGAATATTTCCAAAAAAGGAGATGTGCCCTGAGGTGTGAAGGGGTTTTGTCTAAGCATTCAAGTAAAATAAATACTTCAAGAAATTATTCTTTTTTTTTTTCCTATCTTCTTCAAATTCCACCTGTCCCACATCTGTATTGAAGCTGCTTCTGGGCTGGGGTCAGAGCAAAAGCCAGGGCTTCTCCAGTCCCATGTAGGGCTATCACAGTCTTGTTTCAGTCTCTGCTTGTGACTCAGGTCAGAACCTTGGACCCTAACAGAGAGGGAGGCAATTTGTTGTTTCCTTTGAATTTTTCAGCATCTCAAAAGCATGGGGTTCCTGAAAGCCTAAACACCCTCCCTTCTATAGGAGAACAAACTAAAACATGTTCATCTGCATTTCTGTCAAAGGGGAGGGAATACCACCCGTCTCACTGCACAGGACAAGTTAAAAATCATTCATATGCACATCTATATATACAGTGAGCCTGAATATAAAAACTGGCGTGGGATTTTTTTTCTTTCTTTTTTTTTCCAACTACACCAAAGCTGTTCTAAGCTGTGTGCTGCCCAGAGACACTGCTTGCTTGTTTTCACTGAAATGCTGAATTTCACTGAAGCAATGAAAACAAACCACCTTTCTGAAGCTATTTGCTGCTGAAAGGCTTTGTTGCATTTCATGCTGTATTGTTTGTTATTTGTGCCCATCACTGTGGCACCAGAGCTCAAACAGAGAAATATTTGGCTTATGCAGAGGGAGCATGTGTGAGTGTGAGGGGCAGCAATATTTAGTAGGAAAGCAAACAAGCAAAATATAAATCTATATCTGGCATGATTTTTTCAAGGAAATCTCAAAAGTATTTCTGTGGCAGGCAGACTTCTCCAAACAGAGTGCAGTGTGGATTATTTAAATTTCTTCAGCTGAATCCAAGGAATATTTTCACAGGTACATGGACAGTGTCTCTCTTCCTGTGGTTCTCAGGAAGGCAAAAATCCTAGGATCAGCTCCAGAGCACACAGAGTGAACACAAAACAATGTTAGCCAGGTACACACGGGGAAAAGAGGAATCAGACTATTTAGAGGATTTTTTCAAAAGCGTTTGCCCACCCACTTAACATAGGCCCAGATTTACTTACTGCTTCTCCATATCCCTCATGCCAGGGATTAGTGCAGCCTCTGACCACTTTGTCTCCATTTGCAATCCTGTCATGAGCCCACGATACATGACCTTGTGACGTGTAAAAAAGCACACGAGGTCCCTGATTAACTTCAGAGTATTTTATTTCTTTAAAGAAAAGAAAAGCACTTCAAAAGAATAACTCTTGAACAGAATCAAGCCACAGTCACCAGTGAGCGTTTCACAAAATTACCCGGGAAGGCAAAGTGAACTCGATCGACGAGCTGCTGTCTGTGTAACAGTCGTAACACAAACTGTGACCCCAGCCAAGAGCTGTGGGCAAAGTGCTTGCTGACATGAACCAGTTCTGACTCAGGTGTATGAACTCTCTAATAAGCAGTTTACTCCCCACCTTTCTGCTTCTAACAACTGCTGAGCAGCTCAAGCACAGTCTTTATTATCTTGCCACACGTGGTTGTTATTGTTCGTGCTGTTCTTCATATCTGTGTAAGTGGTGGATTCTAGTTTGAACATTAAGTCTTAAACTTTTCTAGTGGAGTGAGTTCTGCAGTCAATCATACACAGAACAAAAATTATTGTATTTTGCATATCAATTTTCTACTTTTTGTTAACATAAATAATCCCAAGTTCTGTCATTAGAAGAAG